ATATTCGAGTGCCCTTTCTGAACGCTTTCCGTGGTGCCGCATGGCTGCCCACGAGCCTAACCGTAGCCGAACGCTCTGCCTGCCTGTGCCCTCTTACGTTTCATTGTTCTCTACCTGTGAGCTGTAGAATTTTGCCGTCAACGCAAGGTGTTGCACCCTGAGCATAGTCTAGCGAAATCCCAAATGACTCTGGGGTTTCACTATCCTTCAACCTTATTTCTGCGCACTCTCCAATAGCGAAGGTATTACGCTGCTAGCCCGTTCTCCCGCACGTCTGGGGCCGTTTCAGATGTGTGTAGTTTGCTCTTGAACCTTTGCTTTTTGATGTAGTTCAGTTTTCACGCTGCGCTAGAAACACCTGATCAACACGCCTAATAACCCAGAAATGGTACGCCCACGGGTTTGCGCTACGGTTGTCCGCTGCTTTTCATGGACAAAGAGTGCATTGAAAAGGTTAAACAATGGAAAATCACATGGTGCAGAGTGGATGACGTGGCTTTGGGATGAATCGATTCATTTCAGAAAAAGATCTGCATAATCATAACAGTAATTGTGATTCTACTCATCATCATACTCGTCATCATCATTTGGGTTGCAACGGCAAACGCCAGTTCACCGAAATTGCCTAAGGTGGACGTAGATTCGTCACAAAGGGTTCAAAACGAGAAGGAAGCTGCACATAAGCGTGTCATTAACGCCTTCTAACAGCAGTCGTCGTACGGGTAGTGAAACAACAAGGCTATAAGTTCAGGAAAACAGGCGGAATACAGTACACCGAAAAGTGCGCGTGAAATTGAATGTGTCGGCTCCGTGAGTGCACTCAACTGGGCACACCATAAGCCCATTCAGTTACCGCCCAGGATGAGGTCAGGAAGCGAGAATGGCTAATCCCGCACTCCATCTGGCCAGGAGCTGCCTAGGCGAAAACCAAGTGAGGTTGTGGGCACGCGCTGCTCCTGCGCGCTCGATTTTACGCGCATTTAGTTCGGTGTACTGTATCCCGTCTGTTTTTCTAAATTTACAGTTTGGTAGCGGAGAACATCCGATCAAACTGGGTCTCTTTGATAGTTACACCTCGTGCAATTCATTTATCGGCATTCTTTCGTCATTTTCGGGGATTCAGCAGTTCAGTTAAGAATTTCTAATTGCTAAAGCTTTTATTTACCAGTGATGTAGAATTATGTTGTGCAAAAATCGTCGCTTTATCAGTGATCAGGTGTTGTAATGTGATATGTGATTGTGCAAGCCTTTCAGTGTTGTGATAACTTTGTCCCAGTGTTGTCATGTTGCATTTTAATACTACTAACCGTAAAATTTTGCATAATTTTTCCAGCTATCGTACTGTTTTGTTGTTGTTGGTGTATCGTCTGGATTTTTTTGCTCGAGAGCAAGAAGTTTGTCTAGTGATTCATTGACAGTTTCATTCGTCCGAAAGGGTCAGGTCATCTAAAACGCGACGCGGCCGCGACGCTACCCTGACCAAAACGAATAAAATTTGTCAACTGTTTGTATGTGACTGTTCGTGAATGCGTGATACGCTGTGATGTGAGGTTCTCGCAGAAGTATAGCCCGATTAACAACTTCGTCGTCAACCATTGTATACTGCAATAAACTATTCATTTTCGCACTTCATGCTCGAGCGTATTGTGACGTGATCGTGAGTGATCCACTGGCCACATTGAGTGCTTGCAACGCTGAGTTCACGCCAGCGTCAACGACTAGTAAGGTATAGGTATCGATCTAGCGTAAGCGAGCGTACACCAGCGCACAACAGCCTTTTCACGAGCAGTTTTGCTCAAGTTCGAATTGCCCGCGAAAACGCTGGCGTGTGCTAGATCGATATCTACACTTTCCTAGTCGCTGGCTTACGCTGACGCAAAGTATGAACGCAGCCTATGCGCTGACGCGTCGCTTCGACAAATTCAGACTCGAACCGCTTGTAGCATTTATCACCCTTGAACGAACTCCCTGGTGCCTTTAGGCCCATAGAAGGAAATGGATCGCCGACTGAGTTGCCCGCAGCATGGCCTTTCTTGACTACGGTAGCTCCTTCGCTACATTTTTCAATGCAAGCAAATACTTTAAAAATCAGCTCTCGCCCATGAAATGACATATGTTAGAATTCTCTCAAGTGTGTGACGCGACGCGAAAGTGCGCAGCATCAGCGCTCGTGAGCCTTACTTATTGTCGTGGTGATTGGTGAATTGCCTCGTACAAACAGTGATAAACCGCAGTCCACAGTTTTGATATTTATCCGTCCAAAGACGTGTAAAAGATGGGTATAGCTTGGTAACGCGAAAAGATCAATGCGTACACTCCACATCACGGAGCTAGAATGGGCGTGGCTGGAGTTCATTCAAACGGGCCGTCTGCTGCGGTTTTGGTAGCAGAATGGTAGTTTTCCGAAATGGAGATTCAACATAAGAACGCAGAGTTTATGCTTGTATGAAGTACGCAGCCACGCCCCTTTCATCTTCGGGATATGGAGTGTACTTTTTGCACTGCGTCGCTTTTGGCCCGAGCGCTTTAGCAAAAACGTGTTCATTTTCAGAAGAAGATCATAATACTCATCATTGTGGTCATCCTCATAGCTATCGCAGCGCTAATTATTATGAGTTTTATTCCTGGAATCTAAAGCAAATATATAAATCACACACGTTCGCCCCTCGCCACTATGTGTTAACTTTCGTTTTGTGCCGAATGCTAAATCCTGCTTCTCGCTGACATAGACGCCCGCATGATCCCATGCGGCGCGTTCATGTTCTGTTCGATCGATTAGTACCGTCCCATCATACCAATCACACTGAAAAACCAATAAATGTCATCTATTACTCTTTCGAACAACACGTAAGTATGATATGTGGACCAAGTAATATCTTCGAACATACATATAGAGAATCGTTCTGCCTGTGTTCCAGTTCCTGTTTGTTTATTTGTCTTGGATTTTTTTAAATGTGATTTTCTTCATTTTTTGTGTGTTTCGCATTCTTGTTCTACTTAATTATATTGGTGTCACTCAGAAGCAATATCCCATCTTGTTCTGTATTTTACCTGTGTTTTCGCTTCTACTGGCTATGTCCATCGCTAAGACAATTTTTAAGATATTATGTACTGGTTTTTTTTGTTTGTGTTTATTATTAATATGTCGTTCTCTCGAACGGCCAGTAGTGGTTAAAATGACGAATAGTGATTTGAGACACAGTGATACTGCTTAGCACATGCTTACACGAAAGTCACGCGTGAGCCGCAGGTCTGCGGCGCGTGCGGTCGCGGTGCGTCGCGGTTGGCTAATCGATACACTAGTCGGATGTCTCCTTTAGTTTGGTAGTCTCAGCTGCGTTTAGGAGTGCTCGAGGAAGGGGAAGTGATCACACTTACGCTTTTAGTTTTTGGGAGGTTGAGGAGGCCATGTGTTTCTTCTATTATTGATTTTTGGTCGTTTTGAGCGCGCGCTATGATCCCCTCTCAATTCAACGTTAAGAAGGCGTGTTTTGAGAATTTTCCCACATGGACGACGCGTGTCCCCCTTACCATTATTGCTATGCATTCATCGGACGATATTGGTTGATGTGTTGACCGCTCCGCAACCACGCGCGTCACAGACCGGCAGCAGTACGCGCGGCAAGCTGATGAAAATGAACTATAGTATCGCCGTTTCGAGTCTATCACTGCCGTTTCTAATCGGTTTAAATGCCTCGTGACGTAACAGCTTCGAACACTCAACGCTAGAGAGCCCGAAAAGCTGCTGACTTTTTTTGATGGGGTGATTCTACTAGTCCTGAATTTAGTAGAGCACTGATATATATGTATTTTTTTACGCTGAAGTAGAAACGTGTTCTCAAGGTTTATTCTTTTTGGAGGTTCGTATTTTCTTATTCATTTATTGTCTATGGAATCTCGATGTTTTTACGCAATCTCACCTTCCCACACCCATCACCGACAAGATCTCGTTTTCGACGGATCCTTTTTTGAATGCGAGAAATAAATGTTTTAATTATTCCATGTTGCTTTGATCTACCGCTTTCCAAGGCTGTGGTTCAGGAGATCCGGATCGCAGCTCGCGCGCGGCGTTCTCAGCATTTCAATCAACGCGGCCTTCTGGCGTCAAATCAACCGTCGTGGCGGTCTACGTCTTAAATGTCGCTTATTAGACGTCCTTGTCTCGTCGACGAGCGAGCTGCTCCCCTTCATGGTATTTAAGAGAGAGAGAGAGAAGAGAGAGAGAGAGAGAGAGAGAGAGAGAGAGAGAGAGAGAGAGAGAGAGAGAGAGAGAGAGAGAGAGAGAGAGAGAGAGAGAGAGAGAGAGAGAGAGAGAGAGAGAGAGAGAGAGAGAGAGAGAGAGAGAGAGAGAGAGAGAGAGAGAGAGAGAGAGAGAGAGAGAGAGAGAGAGAGAGAGAGAGAGAGAGAGAGAGAGAGAGAGAGAGAGAGAGAGAGAGAGAGAGAGAGAGAGAGAGAGGAGACACACAAGCGCAACTCTAACCGCCTGCGCTCCAAGCGTCAGCCTAGACTAGGGGATGGACGGTTCCTCGCGTCCATCCCCCTAGTCTAGGCTGACGCTTGGAGCGCAGGCGGTCAGAGTTGCGTAGACCGTGCTGCAAAAATGATCCAAAGGGCGCTGGCTGTCTGCGCTCTAGGTCTGGGCCTCGGTTGGGTAAAAGAACACAGAGCGCTGTAAAGTGATTCTCAGAAACACATCGAAAGAGTGGGGATGGACATTTTGATCATCTATCTGAAATAGTGCTGCACGCGGGGCTGAAAGGGTGGGGGGGGTGGGGGACCGGAGAAATCATCTCGAGGGCAGATGTGACCTCATTCTGTTCTATTTAACGATTATGTGCCTCTTGAAATAGAAGAGGCTAACTCGTCAATTGTCAATTTTCTGAGATAAGGTCATAATATGAACGATGTAGGACGTAGACATGCTAGGCAGCGTTCAGACTTCGCGACGGCAGCGCTTCGGTCGCGCGATTTGACGATCGATGCGCATGGTTTTATGACTTGGCATACGACGACCTGCATCGATCGCGTCAAACGCGCGACCGAAGCGCTGCCGTCGCCGAAGTCAGAACGTTCCCTACGATACACTTGATTTGACGTCAAGGGTGTTTCGAGTCAACTATCCAGTAATACGTACTATCCAGCTTGTTGCACGTGAAGCTGCGTCACGAATCTCCTTAACTGCACCCTCTTTCCGTAGTCCCGTCCAGCTTTACTTGTTGATCACTAGCTGCTTTTCCGTGTCAACTAACTAACGTGTTCGTAGGAGTCAAGGCAATAAATAAGATCTTAATTTGTGGATATTCGATATTTCAGAAGAAGATCTGCCTACTCATCACGGGTGCCGTTATCATAGCGATTCTCATAACGTTCCTGATCCTTTACTTCAAGTGATAATACGTGTATTTCCCAATTTCTCTTCAGATTTTTCAGAGGACTTTTTTGAGCTTTCTCTGAGAAACTTTGAACCAAATATGTCTGTGATAAGAAACCAAAAATGCTAATAAGTCGTTTTCTCGTAGGGCTCACTCTCAGCCCTCACGACCAAGGCTGTGCATACCAGGGTTGTCGGTTGGGAGATCTGCATTGCGGCGTCGAAGGTGGTCTCGCGGGCGCTGCCTGCGTGCCAGGACCTAAATGGGTTATTGGACGCCAACGTAGTTGCGAGGGGGGGGGGAGGGGTTGCACTCGGCAGCGTCACTGTATCC